CTCTTCGCCACTAGTTGGATGCAAACAGAAAAGGATGTACAGCACTCTGAAGGCACTTGCACCCACTCTTCGCCACTAGTTGGATGCAAACAGAAAAGGATGTACAGCACTCTGAAGGCACTTGCACCCACTCCTCGCCACTAGTTGGATACAAACAGAAAAGGATGTACAGCACTCTGAAGGCACTTGCACCCACTCCTCGCCAGGTTCCTCGGCTTGACCCATTCACAATTTGCTGCCTTTTATCTTCTTGATTTGACTATGTAATGGATGTTGTGTGTCCACCTTGACTGTGAGGTAGTCACGCGCTCGGAAAATTTGTATTCTGTCTTCCATTGTTGGAAAATCGAGAAGGTAGCTGTGATTTTTTGCAACAACTGCAGCATGCCTATCTACGGTCCTGTCTGTGTGTGTGTGTGTGTGTGTGTGTGTGTGTGTGTGTGTGTGTGTGTGTGTGTGTGTGTGTGTGTGTATACTCCTTGTGAGTGTATGTGTGTGTTTTGCATTTTTTATATCAAAATAGATATATTAACTCTTTCCATACCAGAATGTTTCACATGACTTATCGATCTGAAGAAATAGTAGCGATGAAAAAAAAAACCATTAAAAAATTATTTTCAAAGCGACAATATACACAGTGGTTATTACCATATCAGAAGTCAGATTTATCAATGCCCTCAGAGAAATGGGAAGAATAGAGGACTTTGGTGGCAGTGAATCCACATCACTTGCCAGAATGGCAGACTTGGGAATTAAGATCGGCACAGCAAAAAACGAGACGCACACCAGCTACGCCAGAAGACTTGTTAATCAACATAGAACTGGTACTATTAGCCATCGGACGTTGGGGTTCATACTGAGGGGAGGATCTGAGCACCTATGGACATGTCCGGAGTGCAATGAGGATAACCCAACTAACTAACTAACTAACTAACTAACTAAGTCAGATTTGTTGAGCATGTTCTTACTACATGTTAAACGTAAGAGAGCATAATTATGCTGCATAAGGAAATAAGATAGAAATTCGCACCCCCAGGCGTCTGTTGAGACCAAAGAATTAAGCGACCTCTGTGCTGCCTCTCCCATCAGACCAGTTCAAGAACAAACTACCAATTTTGTTTTAACATATTCTCAAGTTTTGTCACTCCAAAATCACGATTAGCATACGTTCTTTCCAACACTTGTAAAGTCAAGGAAAATGGTATTTGTCTTTCAGCAAGAGACGTGAACAAGCCTGTAGAAGGCAAAGTCAAACATAGTTGTCGTCTAAGTCAACACAGAAACAAGAAGCAACGCAATATTGGAAAGGGGACCAGGGGAAAGGGAAAAGAGGGTTCTATGGCAGCGAGTAGTTCTCAGCGGTAGAGAAAACTAGTAGCGCTCTTCTGTTGTTTAAGTTTGAAACAGCACTTCAGCTGCAAACGAGCAGTGTTGCCACTTTGAATGTTTTACATTCAGATTTAGATGTTTTCCCTTGCATTTAGATGGCGTTTTTGACGTTTAGATGGCAGATGTTTTTCTAGAAGTTTTCCATTTGGAGTGAATTTATCGAATCTAACCTAAGAAACAGGATGAAATTTGACCTCTTAAATGCTATCTTGACAATAAAATTTGGCCTGACAAGAGTAGGAAAAGGCTGTTCCTCTTATCAGCTCCCTGATTCATCATCATCATGTAGCAGGTCCTTTGCAGAACGTCGCTCTCATCACAGTCTGCCTGTAAGACACTCTTTCTCTTGCCAGTTCTCCCGCCTCATGAACTTTCACACCCAAGGAGTCACTTATATCCTGTGCCCATCTTCGTGTCGGTCGGCCTCTGCCCCTCCTTCCTGGTACCATGCCTTCTGCTATAATTTTTTCCAATACGTTGTGGCGCTTTATTTGACCAAAATATTTCAGCTTTCGAGAAAGGATGCTGTTTATTAGCCAATCTTCCTTGATGTTCAGATCTTTTAAGATGTCAATATTTCTCATCTTCTTTTCCAAGATATTCTGAGAATCTTTCTATAGCATTTCAGCTCAAAAGCCCCTATTCTCTTTCTCAAGGACTTGGAGATAGTCCACGACTCACGTCCGTATGTAGCCACAGGGAAGATGCATGCTCTCAAAATTCTAATTTTTATCTCCTTGCTGGTGCTTAACCATAGACTTTTTGAGGCTGTTCAATCTTTGCATTGCTATGGCCATCCTCCTTTTAATTTCTGTCGAACAGTCTCCATTGTTGTTTATTATAGAGCCTAGATATTCAAAGTTTGTGACATTTTCAATTTCTTCAACATTTATTGTTATTTTTGGGTGACAGCCAGTTTTATATGTGAACATTATTTTCGTTTTCTTTAAATTCAAGAACAGATTTTGATCTTCACTGTGCCTTTGGACGGACAATATTAAATTCTCTATTCCCTTTACGCTGTTCGAAAAGAGGACTGTGTCATCTGCGTAGCGGAGTTCCGGAATAGGGTTGCTACCAATTTTGAGCGGATCATAACTGTCACAAGTCTGGTCATTTTTGACATTTCTCATTATATTTTCTGCGTATATATTTAATAGGTATGGTGTGAGAATGCACCCCTGCCTCACCCTCTTTTGCACCTCGAACCAATCAGATGTTTCACCAGCTGCTCTGATGGCTGCTTGTTGTTCATGATAGAGATAGCTCCCTGATTAGGTATTTAAAAAAAATTGGAACAGCTAAAACACACCAGAGTTATTTTGGATCTGGAGCTTTAACTTCATCATCCAAGCTGAGTTTATCCTGTGGATCTTGTAAGACAGACTTCATTAAAGATGAGGACATGATTCTTTTGTGTAAGTCATATCAATTGCTATGTAATTTGTGACTTTTTCCATTTGGATGTTTTTTCTAGATGTTTTCCACGCAAATATAGATGTTTTAAGATATTTTTTGACTCTGTTTTGGATGTTTTCTGTTAAAGAAAAGTGGCAACACTGCAGACGAGTTGTCCGCCATAAATAAACAAACCAACCACTACAAGGAAAGAAAACATATATGTAGGAGCGAAATGTCGTTTTACTTTTTCTACAAGACGAAAAATACTAGCATTCACTTGTGTTAGTAAATATCCATTTTCATTATAAGTTCTTTATTTTATTGATAAAAAAATTACTTTGCCACTGATGTGAGTGAGCCGACGAGAAGTTTTGGCTGCCTAAGTTTTCAATGAGATGAGAAGAAATGTCAAAGTTGACTCCACTTCTCAAATGTCAGTTCTGTTGCTAGTACTAGTAGTGTTTACATGGTTTGTGTGAACTTTAGAACTTGTATCTGGTTAGCCATGTTTCTCTTTCCAGGACTGGATGGGGTCATTGCACTAAGTTCATGTTCCTTGTCGGAAACTTTAGATACGGATGCTCAACAGGTAAGAATATATGGCTATCCTCCGAATAACGGTCAAATATTACCGAGGCCGAAAATATACCCTAACAGGGCCTCAGTCACATGTAAATTTCTGGACTTCTGGCGACTTAAATTGCAAACTTCCTGCGACTACCACCACCGCCGAGAGTATCTCCCATGCCGCTACGCGCGGCGTGGAGCGGGGCTAAACTAGATGGCTAGGACTCACGGGCAACAGCTACTGCATCTCCTACAGCTTCCTTCATTTTATTTGCTCGTGTGGGAGATACTCTCGCCGATGGTGGTAGTCTGCAATTTACATGTGACTGAGGTCCTGTTAGGGTATATTTTCAGCCTCGATAATTTGGGACCGTTATTTGGATGATAGCCGAATAAATAAATAAGAAATTAAAGGCTTAAAATGAAAATTTTATTTTTCTGCTTTTGCAAATAGTATTTGGATTCATGTTGTGTCTTTTAGAGACCACTGTCAAGAGACTTACTTTATAATTGTAGGGATGATGGTGAAGTTTTTTGTATATATATATATATATATTTTTTATGAAACAATTTCGCATGGACAGACATTAAAATGTCAAGTCAAGCTATGACTTAATGAAGCCTGTAAGTCAATTTTAAGCAGAGAAATTAACAATATAGTGGTGAATACCACCATAGACAAATTATAGTGTAATTTGACAAAAGATTAATTCCAAATTGTGTCGAAGCAAAATGTAACCTTGAAATGACTAAATGTTTGCATTTTATGGCAATAATTGTTTCATTTTTTAACGAATCACATAGCAATTGTGTATCATTGCAATCGGGGCAGTGAGGCCTAACTCTTTATGTATTAGTCTACACGCAGTCCTCAATATTTTTTTTTTACTTCCTTTTTCCAAAATTAATTTTTTAAAATGTACAAAACATAACATACATATATAAATTACTGGTAGGTACTGAAAGGTACGACAATATGAATAAGAGCTGGTTTTGATGTAAAAAGTGGGTTTTTTAATAAAATGAGTGGGTGGAGTATAAACTGAGTATTGATTGACTTCTGGCATATCCAGCTTTTTTGGTGTCTGACCTACCCCTGTTAAAAGAGTGTGGAGGCAGCTGAGATGTGGTTCTTGAGAAGAATGTTGCGAATACCTTGGACTGCCAGAATAACTAACAATAGTTGCCCTAAAATGGCTAATGAAAATAGAATGTTATACACAACACTGAGAAGGAGTAAAAAAACAAGGTTCTTTAGTCATGTGATGAGAAAAAGAGCACTGCAAAATTATTGTGACGACTGGAAAGATCAGTGGTAAAAGAGGCACAGACAGACCAAGAGAAATGATGGTGGATAGCTTAAGACACTGGCACGAAGGAACATCATTAGTGGAATTGATCCAGAACACCAAAGACCAAGATCTGTGGAGATGCATAAACGCCTACGCCTGCTCGCAAGGTACTCGGTGATTATGATGATGACCTACCCCTCCGACATATTGGCTGAATATTTTAGTCTACTATACATGTATGCAATTTTTTTTTTTTTTAACCACAGTCTAACTGTTATGACCAGACAAAAAATATTTTCTGTATTCTGTTTTTTTTTCTTCTCTCGGTAGAATCCATGCTAGAAGCATACAATGAGGCTCCACTTACGTAGACTGGTGATCACTTTCTTCATAATAGTCATCAGCATATTCTTCTTGTTTGCTGTCTATTCATATGGCACTAGTCATTTCCGTAAATCACGCAGGAAGAGGATTCCTGATGTTCACAGCAGAGATCCTTCACTGAGAGACTGGACTTCGGATGCCATTTTTTGGGATGGGAATAGCGGAGTCAGAAAGTTGCCGCCTGGTGTGACCAGTGTTGACCAGAATTCTGTGCTCAGATTTGGGTTTGTGCAGTCGGAGGTGGTTGATGAAACTGGTAAAGTGCAGAAAAACTGGACAGCTGGGGGGAAAACAAGTTTTCTAGATGAGGAGCTGCTGATGGCTGAACTTGTGAACTATAACTTGAACATTCATCAGAGTGATAGGATACCTTTGAACAGAGATGTTCCTGATTCCAGACCTTTGGGGTATGTTATCTTAACTTTCCTATCATCATCATTGTTATCAGTGAATGTTATCATTATATTCACTATCTTTTTTTTCCCACCTGTTTTTTCATTGTTGTTGGCACCTTTCTGTCTTTCCAGGCAATAATATTGTATTTTGCCATAGGGAGGCTTCATCACTTGTCATCAGGTCACGTCATCGCTTGTTTGTCAGGAGGTGGGATATTGCGTATTAGTTAAAGGGACCGAAATCAACAGGTCTAAGCAATCTTGACATTCCCTTTCTAGAATCTTCACATGTTAATTAGCAGAGAGATATTTGCAACTGAATAATTTATAAATAGTATCTGAGGTAATGTTTTTAAACTTGCCTTTTCAAAGAGAAAGCAGTAGTACTCTTTCAGGAAAACCCAGAAGGCCAACTTTCAATTTAATTGGCGTATTTTGGTGTTATCTGATGCAATAGAGATGTAATTAGAAAATCCCACATGGAAAACATACATAGTAAACAAGTGTTAGCACACAAGAATCTTCCAGAAGCAGTAGTGAGTAGAAAAACACATACTTCACATTCCATCATCACAGTATAAATAGTGTGTAATAAACCACTTGGGTAACCTTCAGTCAACAAGACTGAGAAGACGAGGCACTAGTAACATGGACCCTTACAGAGAATCTTCAGTCGTTGAGACTCAGAAGACAAGGTCTAGTCACATGGACTCTGCAGATGAGAACCTTCAGTCCTCAAGACTTAGAAGCAGAGGAACCAGTCACATGGACTCTTGCAGATGACAACCTTCAGTCCTCATGACTAAGAAGCAGAGGAACCAGTCACATGGACTCTCGCAGATGACAACTTTCAGTCCTCAAGACTTAGAAGCAGAGGAACCAGTCACATGAAGCCTCATAGATGACAACCTTCAGTCCTCAAGACTTAGAAGCAGAGAAACCAGTCACATGGACTCTCGCAGATGACAACCTTCAGTCCTCAAGACTTAGAAGCAGAGGAACCAGTCACATGAAGCCTCATAGATGACAACCTTCAGTCCTCAAGACTTAGAAGCAGAGAAACCAGTCACATGGACTCTCGCAGATGACAACCTTCAGTCCTCAAGACTTAGAAGCAGAGGAACCAGTCACATGAAGCCTCATAGATGACAACCTTCAGTCCTCAAGACTTAGAAGCAGAGAAACCAGTCACATGGACTTTCGCAGATGACAACCTTCAGTCCTCATGACTTAGAAGCAGAGGAACCAGTCACATGAAGCCTCATAGATGACAACCTTCAGTCCTCAAGACTTAGAAGCAGAGGAACCAGTCACATGAAGCCTCATAGATGACAACCTTCAGTCCTCAAGACTTAGAAGCAGAGAAACCAGTCACATGGAGCCTCGAAGACAGTCACAAGAGAAGAGACATGAACGAGACATCGAATTGCAGAGACAATAGACAATATATATGGATCCATAGTTAACACAGAGACATCAGACACTGTTGAGATGTCAGAGTCGACAAATAAACTGTTAGTACCAGACAGCACTAGAAGCCAGGTTGCAGTTACAGACACTAGAACCAGTTAATAAAATAACTAGAGATAAAGAACACAACATGACCACTCAAGAGTATGTAACTATAGAGCGAAAACAGCTGCCATTCAGAATATCATAGATGTTATTTATGACATTGCTGAGGTATCAAAATAAAGACAATATAGACAAGAAGAGTTGTTTCAAATAATTTTATTATACAAGCATCAGAGTGACGTGAGAAGCATGAAGCAAGCAGGAAAGACATTGTCTTCATTACTACTATCGATACGACCATCTTTCTCCTCGTCTATATTCTTTAATTGACTCCTTCTATAGAAATCAGAAGACTAACCTGGGTGTGACATCAATGTACACATAGAAGACAGCTGTGCTACTAGTATTGTAGAGACCACATGTTGCCAGTGCCTCATGTTCCCTCTCCAGGCCTGCCTTGTTTACTCCAAAAGAAAAGTAACACTGAAATGATTGGAACAAAGCACCCTAGAGAAGCAGTCAAATCAGAAGAGCAGTGCTCTGTTTGTCTGCCTATCATGGCTTTACTCTTAGACCAAAGGGGCCTGGTCTGCTATAACAAAAAGTTGTCAGGTTGCATTTTCTCTTCCTAGGCTAAGGCTAGACTCTTCCCCAATGTGCTGCTCGGCCAGAAACCATTGGTACAATGTGGGATGTTAGGTTTGGTATACACCGTCAGCGTTGACAGAAAACAGTTAGTACCGTCTACTGTTGTACAGTAGCTGAGTCATATCTACCCATGAGCTGACCACTCATATCTTTCTAGACATTATTGTTTATTATAATTGTCATCATCATCGTATAAATCATATTTATCATGATTGTCATCATTTAAATCATATTTATCATGATTTTCATCATCATCCTATAAGTCATTATCATCATGATTACCCATTTACGCTCCTAGGGATTGAACAGGGACTACTGCCTTTACTGGAAGGCAGTGGAAACATCAATAAATAATCGACACAACAGAGCAGACATATAAAGATGCCAAAAACATTACTTGTTTTTCATAATTATTTGTTACAATTAAACATGCATAAGTTGCTTAGATGCTGGCTTGCCATCACAAAGGTCTTGAGTTCAGATCCTTATTATATCAGTTTTTTAAATGATCTTGGCCTCCAGGTTGACTCATCTTAAAATTGGTACCAGGCAATGACCTGGAAAGTAAAGGCAGCCGGTGTGATGTTGACCACATCATACACCGAGTGCTGTTTGTTCAATAAAGATTTGAGTCTTATGTCATATGCTTGCCCGATGCAAGCTGGTGTAAATAGGGTTGTTTGGTATAGAGGTCCCAGAAACTCCTATGGCCTAGGCCATATATAAGGCCCGGCTATATTCAGGGCCCCACGGTGGGGCTTCAAATAAAAAATGGCATCCCACATGGGGATGACAGTATATAAGAGGAAGAAGAATGGCAATTGCTTATCAATAGTATTTCAACATTTCATGTCTGTTTATAAAGAAATAATGTCTGCCAATGTTTCACAGGTGTGCTGCCATAGAATACCCGAGCAGCTTACCAACAACAAGTGTGGTGATTCCCTTTCACAATGAGTGGCCGTCGGTGGTGATCCGCACTGTGTACAGCCTCATTAACCGCACACCAAAGCATTTACTCAAAGAGATTATCCTTGTTGATGATGCCAGTGATGTCTGTGAGTGACCCTTTAAACCAGCGGTTCTCAACATGGGGGTCGCAACCCTTTTTTTGGGGGGGTCAGACGACCCTTTCACAGACCATCCAAAAACACATATTCATTGCAGTTATGATGGAAAGTAAATGTTTGGGGGTCGCCACAACATGAGGGAAATGTATTAAAGGGTCGTGGCTTTAGAAAGATTGAGAGCCATTGCTTTAAATGTTAAAATAATTGTGGGTTTATTCATCATCATCAGTTCTCGTTATGCCTAGTGGCACATGAGGCTTCAGAGAGGACTTTCCATGCTTTCCTGTCCTGCGCAATCTTCAGTGCAGTTTTCCATGTCAAAGATGCCACACTCAGGTCACTTTCCATCGTTCATCTCCATGTTGTTTTTGGGCACGCCTGTTTTCTCTTTCCCTCTGGTATCCATGTGAGTGCTGTTTTGGCAGGTATATCAGGATTCATTATCATAACGTGGCCAAGCCATTTCCATCTTCTCTTGGTAATCATACTGTCTAAAGTTTCTTGGTTTGTGACTTGAAGTAGTTTAGTGTTTGAGATTGTATCTGGCCAGAAAATTTTGATATAAAGTGCTTTGTTACTCGCTATTTATACTTGGATGCTGGAATGCTAGGTATTTGTTTTCTTCTCGCTTTGTCTGCTTCTAGAATATTCAAGTACACCTTAACTTGTTTACTAGGTAGGTTCTCACGTTGGATTTGCTAATTATATCTCGATTGCATCAGATTTCATCATCCTATTCTACACAAAAATGGTAGTTAAACTGACAATTGACATCAATAGAAGCTTCTAGAAAAACAAGTGCAATTGCGTTTGCTTTGATAGGGCACAACAACAAAGTTTTTACTAGTACGACAGAGTTGGGTCACTAGATGAAAAGAATGCATTTCAAAACTTCTAGAAAGAAGGCCAAGGCCAGACAATGACGTCAAATACTATTTATAGATTATTCATTTGCAAAACATTTCTCTGTTAATAACAAACAAAGTTTCTAGAAAAGAATGTCAAGGCTGCCAAAACTTGTTGATTTCCTTATATCCTAGCTTTGTGCGTACTAACAGACAAGCTATGACCCACTCTGTTACAGCAGCTGAGATGTGGTTCTTTGAAAAGAATGTTGCGAATACCTTAGACTGCCAGAATAACTAACAGTGACTGCCTGGAAATGGCTAATGAAAGTAGAACTTCATATACGACAATAAGAAGGAAACATATAGAGCTCTCTGGTCATATGATGAGAAAAGGCGTACTGGAAAATGTTGAGACGACTAGAAAGATCACTGGTAGAAGAGGCAGACCAAGAGAAACAATGGTGGATGGCTTCAGAAAGTGGCATGGAGGAAGATCATCAGTGGAATTGATCCAGAACACCAAGACCGAGATCTGTGGAGATGCATGAATGCCTAGTCCAGCTGGCAAGGCACATGATGATGGAGATGCTTCACTTTATCAGCTGTACAGCTGTAGAAGCAGACTACAGGCATTGCTGTTCACTGGCACCAGGATGGTTGTTGTTCTCTATGGGAGCTTTCAGAAACAGCATCTGCACTCTTTCTGTGTTAAGTCATTTCTGAATGACTGACTGACTTTCTACCCCACCAGGACATCACACAAGCGATAAACACTCAATGACACAGAGTGCCACCATGTGGGTGAGGATCACCGTGTGGAGGTCCCAGAAACCGCGTTCAGCTTTTAGGCCATATTTATGGCCAGGCCAGATTGCGGCCCCTGGCAAAAACCAGAGTAGGGCTTAAAAAAATGAAAAATTTCATCCTAAAAAGGACGACAATAGAACTGATAAGTCATTTCTACAATGTTCCTGATTTAATGTTGAAGATGTTTGTCATGGAAAGAGGTTTAGAAATGAACAAACTTTATTTTCAAAGGGTCATAAATTGGGCACCCATGCCCACCATACATTCAGCCCTTCCAAAAACTTATCTTTTACACATTAATTGTATTTTATCAATAAAGCATGTAATGTTTATTCAGCAATTTGCATAATAGGAATATCAAGGCAGGTTGGGGGAGGGGGGGGGGGGTTAGGGTAGATGTGGACAGTAAATGCATGCACACACACCTTCGCTCATATATACATACTACACGGCCACTCATACGGATAATACACTCATATTATTACTCATATATATACTTTCATACACAGATACATACATATCATACCCATACACTCATACACATGGTAGTATAGCATAGAACCCATTTAATATGGAAACAAGTTAGCACTAATTTATGGAAAACTGTTAACATGGAAATGAATGAATATTAATTTAATATTGAAGACATTTGTCATGGGCAGAGGTTGACTTTGTGTAACCCTGAACCAATTTAACTCTTTTAGTCCCAGAGGGTTTAGCATCAGAGGCTGCCCAAGGGGTGGTCAAGAGAGACATAAAATCAGTGCATCTTGCGTTCATTGGGCTTCTTGGTAGGGACGTAAGATGTGTTCTTGGAACTGAAGGAGTTAAAATGGGAATGAATGAACATAAATTTAAAATTGGACGCATTGATCATTTAAAGAATTTGATATTAATGTAACATTAAACATTTTTAAAAGAAATATTTTATAGGAAATTTTAACATGGGAACAAATGAACTTTATTTCCAAAGATTCACAAATTGGGCACGCAGGCCTATCTTTCATTTGGCCCTTCCAAACACCCATCTCTCAAACATCAGTTGTATTTTTATCTATAAAGCAAGTTATGTTCATATAATAATATGCATATTATGAATATCAAGAATAAAACAACAAAAATATGGGTGGTAAATTGCACAAGTACACTCATGCGCATACACACAAACACACCCACATACACACTCCAACCCACTCACTAGCACTCACATATACTCACCAAACATACACACCAACGTACATCCATACACACATGCATTCATACATACACACATTCATACACACATAACAACACACATGAACTCACACATACATACATACATGCATGCATACATACATTCAGGTATCCATGCATATGGACACACACATGCATACATAGACACATGCAGACACACACACACAGACAGACATGCACACACAGACATAAAGTCAGTCATACACTTAGAAACACACAGATACACACACACAGACTCATACAGACACACACAGAGAGACATACACACAGAGATGCACAGACATACGCACAGACATACGCACAGATACATTAATTGGAGATAATTAACATGTAACAAGTTAACACCACCTTAACAGTGAAAACATTGAACGTTATTTAACAGACATTCTGAAAGTCAGGCTGAAGAGTTTTATCGAGAAGAACTTCCCCAAAGGTTTGGTGAAACTCGTACGTTTGGAGCATAGAGAAGGATTAATTCGAGCTCGTATGGAAGGGCTGAAACATGCTACAGGAGAGGTCATCTCTTTCTTTGACAGTCATATGGAAGTCAACGTAGACTGGTAAGATGTTGCTTTTGTTGTCGTCCATCACATGAGGTGATGACCGTCCTTTTATTTGCTAGTGGTCATCGTCATCATGTAGCAGGTCCTTTGCAGAACGTCGCCCTCATTACGGTCTGCCTGAAAGAAACTTGGTCTCTCGCCAGCTCTCTCTCACCTCATGTACTTTCATACTCCTGTGCCTATCTTCATGTTGGTCGGCCCATGCCCCTCCTTCCTGGTACCATGCCTTCTGCTATTTTTTATTCCAATCCGTTGTGGCACTTGATATGACCAAAATATTTCAGCTTCCCAGACAGGATACTTTTATAAGCCAATCTTCCTTGATGTTTATATCTGTTAAGATGTCAGTATTTCTACTCTTCTTTGTCCAAGATATTCTGAGAATCTTTTTAAAGCATTTCAGCTCAAAAGCCCCTATTCCGTTTCTTAAGGACTGATAGTAAAGTGGGATTTATATGTGTATAGATGGCTCATACCAATTTTGGCTTACTTATTCTGAGTATTCTTTTTTTTTATTTTATTTTTTTTTTTCCCACCTGATTGTAGCCCAGTTTTGTGGTGTTCTATATTTATCTTTTGCTTCTAGGATGGCATGGGTGATAAATTTGTAAATCTTTTTGCAGGTTTCGGCTACACCATTTTTCCATCTTTTTCTTGGTCTTCCGCTCGTCTACCTCCCAGATGTTCTGCTGTAAAATGTCTCATATGAAGTTTGGCCTAGCTGCATTATCACTAGATGGCCGAACCATTTCATTCTTCATCTGTCAATATAACATGGTCTTATTCCAACTTTCTCTCTAATGCTGGTATTTATAACCGTGTCTCTTTTTGCATTGTTATTGACCTTGGGGAGACAGCGCATTTCACATGTAGTTGTTTTCTGTTCTAAAGTTGTTCTAGTATTCACCAACAGTAAACTCTGGCAAAAAGTTCTGGCTGTTCGCCCACTTCTGGATTTCAAGCACAGCTGTAGTTATGCTTCTAATAGCATTGGTGATATGTTTATTTCTCCTGCACATGGAAATTTATGGGACACCCTGAATATATAAATTCCCATTTCATGGCTCTATAGGATTTGTTATTGCTTCTATACCAATTGCTTATTATTTACAACCTTAATTTTAAGTCATGTCTATAATTTTTTGTCTGCTCAGACAGTGGGAAAAATACAGAATCATTCCTGTTAGTTGTTTCTAATTTTTTTTTTAAACTAGATAATTCAAACAAGCCTTTACTATTTAAAAAACAAGTATTAAAAATTGTTCTTTGTCTTCCTACTCCTCCTTTCTTCCTTCTTCTTTCTTCCTTATTTTTTCTTTCTATCTTTCTTCTTATTCTTCTGCTTCTTCCTACTTCCTTCTTCTTTCTTCCTACTTCCTGCTTCTTTCTTCCTTCTTCTGTTTCTTCTTCTTCTTCTTCTTCTTCTTCTTCTTCTTCTTCTTCTTCTTCTTCTTCTTCTTCTTTTTCTTCTTCATCTTCCTTCTTCTTCTTCTTCTTCTTCTTCTTCTTCTTCTTCTTCTTCTTCTTCTTCTTCTTCTTCTTCTTCTTCTTCTTCTTCTTCTTCTTCTTCTTCTTCTTCATGCTCACCTGCTGCAAACTCTGACAAAAAATCAGAAAGTCACTTTTGGGCTTAGGTTTTGTTCCGGAACTTGAGTTTGCCCACACATAACATTTTTACACATCTGGTTTTTTGGTTTGTTTGTTAATGTATACTGTTGGTTTCTCTCCTCTCAGGCAAATACTCTCCATCTTTGATGAAATCCCCTAATTATTAGACTTCTGTGACATGCTATTTGGGGGGGGGGGGGGGGGGAGGAGAGAGAATAGTCCCCCCCCCCCCCCCCCCCAACAAAAAACACCCAGACCCATAAAGGGATAATTCATATTGAAGGTATACAAGAATTTATGAAATGGCAGAAATAATTTCACAGATAAAGTGACCCACCATCGTCTCCACAGGCTTCAACCTCTACTAGCTGAGATAGTCAAAAACAACCAGACAGTGGCCATGGGACAACTGGACTACATTCACAGGGACACGCTCAACTACAACTATTTTGATGATTATCGCACCCGGTACGGGTTCAGGTGGGACATGCAGTTCTTTGAGACCTACTTCAGGCCTGACCAACTAGAAGGCAAAATGGCAACTGACCCATTGCCGTAAGATTTTATTAGCTTTTATTGACTTCGCTTTTGTTTGTTATACAGTATTATCATTGCTATGTAATTTCTTCATTTCATAGTTTCTCTGAGGAAACTGTTCACATTTCATTGGAATTTGTTTGGTATTTTTGCTTCATTATCTGTTGATGTAACTCGTAGTAACGCATCTGATGAAATATGCCTGGCCATAAATTATGTGATTTATTGTTTATGTCCATATTATTTTAAATTGTTACAAGAAAATACTGTTTTGAGTCATCATTGTCATCATTAATTTCCACTTTTGCCTCTAAGCTTTGTGGGAAGAAAAAGTTTTTGATCCAGTGCTTGATGGGTAGCAATAGCTGTTGCCATTCTACTTTGATATAGATGGTCTTTAATATCATCAGTCCATCTTATCCTACTGCAACCTCTTGGTTTTGCATTAGATCTTTTCTTTGTAGGAGCTTTGTTGATAGTTTATTTGGCTACACTCTGATGAGATGTCTGAACAATTTGATCCTCCATTTCTCAGTGAATTTAGCACTTGGTATTGTTCCCACAGTCTGTCTTAAAGTATAATTTCTCACTTTAGTCTCAGATGGTTAAGTTGGCAGCTTTCCTCTGGCATATGTTTTCACAGGTGGTAATTTTACATAGGTAGTGGGGGGGGGGGGGGGGCTGCGTGATCTCGAGGCATGATGCTCGGGCAAAATTTGGAGTTAAAAATCTAAATAAAAATATTTCATGCCCTTGGCGGTGCTACAGAGTTTGTGCATACTATGGATATTTTCTCCAGGTCATGCCAGTGTTTTGGGGAACGAGCAGGCAGATAGGCTGGCCGGTTCTGCACCACTTGGTGATAAATTAATGTATGATAAGCTAGGGCCCTTTGGGAGCGTGTGAACTCTGCAGAGGCACAAATATATAATTACGGTCTGAGGAGAATGGAATTACCAGGGAATCTGGCTGATGCCCAACACTTAGGGGAAAGGCCAGATGGATATTCAGTTTAGACAGTTACTTATGCTATTAGAATTGAAAATCTTTGTTTGCTGCTGAAGAGGGGGACAGAGTACCAGTGGGAGTGTCCTGAATGCTGTGATGTTGATTCATAATTCAACATTCAACATTTTTTTGTTATTGCATGGAGCGGTGTCAACACACCAATGGAGACATGCTATTGAAGATCGCAGATTGTGGAGAGGCATGATGGCCCACGCTAGTGGATAAGGCACTTTATGATGGTGATGATAATGATCTCCACCATGTTACCTGCAGTTCTTCAATTTCTTATTCATTATTAAAATTATGCTTGTATGCTTTATTGTATGAATAAAATTTTGATGCATAATCCTGCAGTGGCGTTTTAATGGTTGGTCCAGGTTTCGTGGTGGATGCCAACTACTTCAAACACATTGGAGCTTATGACAATGACATGCTGATATGGGGTGGAGAAAATATTGAGCTTGCCTGGAGAGTAAGTTACATGACCTAAACCTTTTAAAATGTTGATCTGGGTATTGTTTTTTGTTCAAGGGATTGGGGTCTGATATTGGAGTCACTTGGAGATCTGTTTTTTGGAGTCACAGTATGTCACTGGAGTCACTTTGAGATCTGTTATTGGAGTCACGTGGAGTATATCACTAAAGTCCCTTTAAAGTCTGTTATTTGAGTCATTTGGAGTATATCACTGGAGTCCCCTTAAAGACTGTTATTTTAGTCACTTGGAGCATATCACTGCAGTCACCTGGAAGTCTGTTATTGAAGTGTATCACTGGAGTCACCAGGAAGTCTGTTATTTGAGTCACTTGGAGTATATAGCTGGGGTCATCTGGAAGTCTGTTATTGGGAGTCACATGAAGTATATAGCTGAAGTCACTGGGAGATCTGTTATTGTAGTCACTTGGAGGTATGTTATTGGAGTCACTTGGAGATATGTTATTGGAGTCATTTGGAGGTATGTTATGGGAGTCACTTGGAGTTATGATATTAGAGTCACTTGGAGGTATGTTATTGGAGTCACTTAGAGATCCATTATTGGAGTCACTTAAAGGTATGTTATTAGAGTAATTTAGAGTATATTATTGGAGGCCTGTCATTGGAATCATTTGGAAGCCTGCTATTGGAGTTGCTTGATTTGTTATTGGAGTCATTTGGAGGTCTGTGGAGTCATATGGAGGTCTGTTTGTGGAGTCATTTGGAGGTCTGTGGAGTCATATGGAGGTCTGTTTGTGGAGTCATTTGGAGGTCTGTGGAGTCATATGGAGGTCTGTTTGTGGAGTCATTTGGAGGTCTGTGGTGTCATATGGAGGTCTGTTTGTGGAGTCATATGGAGGTCTGTTTGTGGAGTCATTTTGAGGTCTGTGGAGTCATATGGAGGTCTGTTTGCGGAGTCATTTGGAGGTCTGTTTGTGGAGTCATATGGAGGTCTGTTTGTGGAGTCATATGGAGGTCTGTTTGCGGAGTCATTTGGAGGTCTGTTTGTGGAGTCATATGGAGTTCTGTTTGTGGAGTCATTTGGGGGTCTGTTTGTGGAGTAATTTGGAGGTCTGTTTGTGGAGTCATTTGGAGGTCTGTTTGTGGAGTCATTTGGAGGTCTCTGGAGTCATTTGGAGGTTTGTTTGTGGAGTCATTTGGAGGTCTGTGGAGTCATTTGGAGGTCTGTGGAGTCATTTGGAGGTCTGTGGAGTCATTTGGGGGTCTGTTTGTGGAGTCGAGTTATTTGATTGGAGTCACTTGAAGGTATTTTTTGGAGCCGCCTGAAGGTATTTAATGGAAGTCACCTAAAGGTCAGTAAACCATTTTTTCCTTTACATTTTTTCAAAAACGCATTCTTATAATTCTCAGAAACTTCACCCTTGGAAACTAAACGAAGCAGGAGAAATTTTGATTTTTGGGTGATCTTTATAAATCTCAAGAGAATCAAATTCTTGGACTACCAAGCAGACAGACAGACAGACATTCCTCTGATTCTTAGGATAATAACATCACTAACATAATTGTTTTAATGATCTCCAGTCAACTAATGTATAAATCAGAAGAAAAAAAAATATTATACATGAAGGGAAGTAATCACTGTATACGAAGGAAACAAAAATTAACGGCTAACCCTCCACAGATTTAACCTTTTAGAAATAGTAAATGACAAAGAAGAGAAGAATTTGTCAAAATTTCCTTGAAATCTTTGATGTAAAATGTTGCTGACATCCGTCCTATATGTTCCTTCAGGTATGGATGTGTGGTGGTCAGCTAGTCCATGTTCCCTGCTCCAGGATTGGTCACATTGAGAGGGTCCAACCCTACACCTTCCCCAGAGGGCGGCAGTTGACAGAGATGCACAACTACAAGAGAGCTGTGGATGTTTGGCTTGGCCACTACAAGAAATATGTCTACAGCTTATTTCCTGGCATGAAGGTAATGTTAGTGTCGTGGAGAAGGTGATCAGTCGACAAGCCCCCAAGTGTCTAGGGATTTAAGGGGGCTGCATGGTCTTGAGGCACAATGTCCGCCTCGAGTGCTAGAGGTTCCGGGTTCAATCCCCGGTAAGCGCTGGAATTTTTGCATGTGGACTTGGAATTCTAGTAATTCCCCCTGGTCTCTGAATAGTGAGATCGGATGCCCATGTGCATTGTTAGGCATATAAAAATCCCTTGGCAGTTGGAAATCGAAAAAAGTAGCCTAAGGCCACTGCCCGCGCAAAATTTTGAGTTAAAAATCTACCCAAAGTATTTCAGGATCCTCACCAGTGCTACAGTGCCTGTGCACTGTGCTGAGCTTCTTCGGACTCAGACTTGAGTTAGAAGAAGAACGGAGTACTTATGAGTTACTACCCGTGAGCCATGATGTTGATCCGTTGTTCAAAACCTCTAGGGATTTGTGCTGCTTTGAGGTCCACTTGATTCTAGTACCAGCAAGTTTATTAAAACACCAGCCCTCTCCCCAAAAAACCCTCACTAGGCACTAGAGTACTGCTCCAAGGCACTAGTTTTGGTGCAATTAACATTTCTTAGCCAACTTAATTGGCACAAAGAAAACAGACTACAGTTATAACTAATACTGCTCGCAGTAGGTTGAATGTGGTCGATTTTTTTTTTTTTTTTTTCATAAATAGATGGATAGAAATCCAGTAACTGCTACAGACAGCTTAACTCGAGCAGGTACAATTTAAACCGCCATAGTGTTTATTGTGCAGACCATACACCGATAATTATCGTTATAATCTTTTTTTCCGGTAATTCAGTTAATGTTATCGCTCTCTTTCAACAAAATGGATCACTCTTGCAGTAGTAATGCAGCAGCGAGGTCTCTAACACAGCCATCATGGGAACATCCTCACAACATCTGAATAGATCAAAATAACATACCGGCACAGAGTGGCAAGCTTCACTGAAAAATTCACGGGTAGTGAGCATACCTTATATCTTTTCTCCAGGCCATGCCGGCATGGTGGGTAATAAATAAGCAGACAGATTGTCTGAATCTGCACCACTTTGGGGTGAATTAAGACAGGACAAGGCAGATGTTCTCAAGACTCTTTGGGAACAAGCACTGAAATCAGTAGAGATAAAATATTATAATGGCCTGGAGAGAATGAGGCACCTGGGTGTAACCAGAGGGTCTTGCTGGCTCAGTACACTCAGAGGAAAGGCAAGACGGACATATAACCAGATTGTGACCCGTACCATCAGTATGAGAACTCTGCACTGGCTGCTGAAGATGAGGACGAAGCATGCATGGGAATGACCCGAGTTTGATGTCAGTTCTTGACTCAACTCAACTCAATATACCGGCACAAAGTCTGAACAGTCTACCAGTGTATACGAGGGTGACACATTCGATTTTAACTTGTTACTTAATCGCTTGTTATTACATAGTTGTCTTTAAAAAAGGGGCCCCAGCTCCCATGCAGGAAGCTCGCTGACAATCAAGTATACAGATGACACCATCATCAGTCGCTCATTTCATGCCTCTGTAATAAATCACTGTTCATTTCATGTCCCTGTAAGACATCACTGTTCATTTCATGCCTCTGTAGAAAATTACTGTTCATTTTACTTGTCTCTGAGAAATCACTGTTAATTTCACTCCTCTCTGAGATATCACTGTTCATTTCATGCCTCTGTAAGACATTACTATTCATTTCATGCCTCTTTAAGACTTCTATTTGCTTGCTCTTGTGTCTGTGAAAAGCAATCTATTCTTCTGTGTAAATACATTTCCAGGGCCTCAGTTTAGTGCACAAATTGCTTGTTGACTGTCCATGAATCGTGCTTCTGCACGATATTATCTCTCCCCCCCCCCCCCCCCCCCTCTTTCTCTCTCACTCTCAGCACCCCCTCACATCCACCCATGCATGCACTCAGAAACACACATTCATATGGCTGTCAAGAAATTTCCCGCTAAATATTTAAAGAATGCTTGTCTTTTTCCTTAGGACATGGATACAGGTGACCTCAGCGAGAGACTCGCCATCAAGGAAAGATTGAAGTGCAACGACTTTTCCTGGTTTATCAAACACGTGTGGCCAGAACTTTTGGCCTATCAGGAAGATTCCAAAGTCTGGGGCCAGGTAAGCTATGTGTCTTCTCCGCAATGGATTTTGGCTGCAATGTATCAACTTCTAACTATATTAATATTATGTGGGTAGGCTGCAATCACTTCCACAATGCCACTCTCATACCTCTGTCTGAAAGCCATAAAACCAGTCTTTTTCTAGACTGCCAGTAGCGGGAATTAAACCCTGGTAAATGTAAAAGACTGCATTAGATAAGAAATACAGCATAGCATCATCTTGATTTTGATTTCATTAGTTCTTTCATTTCCACAAATCACATTACAGATGGTTCAGTGTCAAGAGGCAAAAGAAGTGCTGGGGGGGGGGGGGGGGGGGGGATGTTCTTAGGCAAAAGCCAATGGTCGGAGAGCCTAGTGTATGATACCACAATATCCAGCCTAAGAATGGAGGTGGAGGCAGTCACTGCAGCTTTCCGCTGGCTGGAGAACACGACACACACACACACACACACATGGTGATTGAAACTGATTTAGAAAGCATGTTGAGGAGGGTGAGGACAGGCATGCTTCGCTTCCAAATTCACGGGTGAGGAGCATTGTCTGGATTTAAATCTCCAGGAAACGCCGGAGTGCTGGGAAATGAACAGGCAGACAGACTGGCTGGCACCGCACAACTTGGTGGAATGCTGATACATTATGAAGCAGATGTGGTTGGGGCCTTCTGGGAGAACGTGTACAAGTCGGAGGAGCAAATTCATCACCACAGTCTGCTGAGAGTGAATCAGCCGGGGAGGGGGGAAGGCAATGAAGGTATCTGGTCGATACTCGATGAAGGGCAAGGCGAACGTATAATCAGAATGCTGTTGGCACTATTGTATTGGAACTCTCAGCTGGCTGTTGAAGATGGGAATGGAGCGCTTATGAGAATGCCCCGAGTGCTGTGATGTCAGTTTTTGAACCAACTCAACTCAGTCAACTCATTCCACAAATCAGAAGACCAAGTTGTACATTAAAGGCTGCAATACATTTAATTAAAACTAAAGTCAGTGACTTTTTTTTACACCAGTGTGGTTGGGCATATCATGCTAGTCCTATATATATGTGTAGGCCTATCGGGCAATCGATGGATACTGGTCAGCATCACGTCGGCCGCCTTTATTTCCAAAGTCTTTATCTGGTACCCATTTTAGGCTTCTCAACCTGGGAGTCAGGGTTGTGTTTGAAAAAATCTGACTCAGCAAACATGAAGCTACTCCCATCCATAACTACTATTAGGGCACTCACTGTTAAACCAAAAAGGACAGTTTTTTCCAGACTTCAAGTAAGATAAAAGTGAAATATGGTTTTTAAAATTATTTGCTTCAACATATGTTTAAAAAATGTAGATTGTAAAGGAAATAATTGCACTGAATGTTAACTTAAACCGATTGTGGTGATAATTTTTAGAAATACCTAGAAACCTTGGTTGCACATAGCACATTGACCTACACATTGAGTCCAGATTGACATCTGCAAAATTTACATTTCTCCTGGTCACTGTTTAGGAAATTGGCCACCTGACAGAGACAGACAAATAGATTTACAGTTTTATTTTATGAGTTGTTGCAGTTTTCAGAAGCTCCAGTGGTCAAAGGTTTAGGGCAGATTTTTTTTTCTTATTGACTTGGGATGCCAGGTTGACCCCGCTTAAAATGGACACCAAAAATATGTCTGGGAAATAAAAGGCTGCCGTTGTTATATAAGCCGCTTTGAGAGCGGAGTCATCTATACAAATATCTAACTAGAACCATATACCCAATATACCTTGTATAATTGTAACTGACTCATAGAGCATGTTGAGAAAGGTGGGGCCAGGCATGCTCCGTGCAGAGTGGCAAGCATCACTTTAAATGTCCTGGGTAGTTAGCGTCCTTTGGATGTTTTCCAGTCATACCGATGAGCAGGCAGATAGACTGTTGGTTCTGCACCACTTGATGTGAAATCATACATCACTATTCTATCTAGTTGTGCACAACCAGCCAGTCTGTCCGCTTGTTCATTTCCTCACACACATATGCATGCCTCGGAGAAATGATCTGGATAATGCTTCTCACCCGTGACCTCTGAAGTAAAACATACCACTCTGTATGAAGCATGCCCGTCCTCACCTTCCTCATTATGCTTTCTGAGTTACAAACACGTTGTGTGTGTTGTAAGTTGAAAATGTTATTGTTGCTCCGTAATCACTGAGACTGATGAGTCCTTTACAACAACGTCTGTTTAAATGACACAGATTCTGGAGAGACTGAGTAAAAAGAGAGTTACTGAAAGAACAAAGAGAATTAAAATATTTTGGTCACATTAAAAGTAATAACACTCTTTTAAAAATCATACGGGAGGGATAATCGAAGGCAAGAGGTATGAGGACGGTATTAAGAGATGGACGAACAACAGCTTGAGAGAGTGTGCTGCCAAGACAAGAGACAGAGTGTGTTGGAGATCCATTGTAGCCTGTGCTTTGTTGTGGAGATGGCACCTGATTGATTAATTAATTAATCCATTCTGTTTTAGTCTATAGCTGGCACTTGTACAGAAATGACAGTAAATAGAAAAACTACTTTCATTAGGGAACTTCCGGTCAAAATTGACATTAGCATGGTCACTGATTTTAGTAGTGGCAAATGTTTGGCTTCTGATAGACAGTGGCCATTGCATTTTCCTTTATTTTTCAGACTGAAAGGATATGGTTTTGTCGCCCAGCTACTGAGTTGAGTGCATGGTGCGAAACTGTGGGCTGCAGATTTCATTTTGAATGTTTTTCAAGCTGTGACCAATGTGTTGTTGTGATATATAGATTGAAAACAAATTGCATGTGGCCTGTTGCCACAGAATTGGTGGTGCCTTATGTGATTGAAATTGAAGGTTCAAGCAACTGGCAACTTTTTGCAAATGCTGCTTCCATTGATGATAAAACTGCATGTCTCATGATGAACTGTTTGTGTTAGCGCTTTTGATGGCTACCTTGTGCTTTTAATATGTGTGTGTGTGTGATAGTGGAAATGCTGAGACAGCAGCCTGGGACAGTTTTCCACAAGGGACAGGGATTGACATTCTGTGTGTTTTTCGTTGGCACAGCAACTATGCAGTGACCCGTTTGCCATGAAGCTGAAACTAAGATTACCAGAATGATTCGACTGCGCTGGGCCAGAAAGTGTTGAGATGTGAAGTAAAGGAGTTTATTTAAGGCATTACAATAAATGCACGATGTGAAGTTTGAAACTGAATGAGCTGATGAACTGAAATGTCTACATCACAGGGTTTTGGGCTGACTCCTGATGGTGCCTTGCGAACTACAATTCATTGCGTGGTTGCTATTGTACATGGTGCGGATGTGTTGCCATTTGTAGAGAATTGTTTTCTGAGGCCGGTCGAAAAATGGAATCATAATGAGGTACTGTGGCTTTCATGTATATGTTTTATGTTTGTCGGATGACTCATGGTATTGTTTCAGTCTGTGAATTTTTATGTCTTTTTTTATTTTAAACACTAAATCAATGTTATTATGAGTTGGGTTATCTTCTTTGCACTCCTGACACGCCCATAGGTGCTCATATTCCCTCTTCAACATATACATCACGGTTAATAGTGCCAGTTCTGTGCTTGTTAAAAGGAATTCTTGTACATCCAGTGTGTGCCTCTCATGCTTGGATGTGCCGATCTTTACTCCAATCTTTTGCATTTTTAGCAGTGATATGGACACGCTGTTCCCAAAATCCTCCAATCCTATTTTTTTAAGGACATTAACAATGTCATCATGATCCATGGGCCGGTCATTTGCAACTAAGGCAGAACCAGCTAATCTATCAGCTCTTTCATTGCAAATCTCCTAATTCTTTAATTCTTAGTGATGTAGAAACATTGCTCCTACAATCCTCCAGTCGTCCTGTGTCTCTAAGGGCATACACAATGGTGGTGCGATCCATAGGCCAGCCATCTGCAACTAAGGCAGAACCAGCGAGTCTATCAGCTCTTTCATTGCCAACGACCCCCGCATATCCTGGGACAAAGATGAAGGTAACTCAAACTGATTCTGTTTTGATCAATGTCAGCAATCTTCTTTTCCTCTTTTTCCACTTTTTTCTGCTCCTCCTTTTCACTTTTTTTCTGCTCTTCCTTTTTTTTCTGCTGCTGCTTCTTCTCTTTATAAAACAAGGAACTTTTTCATGCCATGGGCACAGCAGGCATATGTGGCTAGCTCCTCGCTTTACAGACCCGTCAGCACTCATCACACTGGCCTCATTTACTACACATGGTATTTGCTGGTGCCTGTTTTGTAATGTGTGTATATGAAAACAGTATGCGTGTTGTATCTTTTAGAAAGCAATGGTAGACTCCTAAAAATGTACCTTTCAAAAAGCAGTGGCAGTACTTAATATAAATTGTCAAGTTAGCATTTAGGAGGTCACATTTTATCCTGTTTCTTGGGTTAGATTTGATAAATTCACTCCAAATGAAAAACGTCTAGAAAGACATCTACTATCTAAATGTCAAAAAAGGCCATATAAATGCAAGGAAAACATCTAAATCTGGATGTAAAACATCCAAAGTAGCAACATTGCCTATGATATGCTTGTTAAGGGGCAGTGGGTTTGTTCTGTCTTCTCCAAAACAGAGTCGTGGAACCTGCACAGAGAGTAGTGAGTAAAAGTAAAGGACCCTTTTCCAGGCCTTTCAGGCATATAGGGCATATATTGGTAAACCTATATTTTATAAACCAAGATGGGTTATGTAGTCAGTATCATGCCGGACAAAGGGAGTCATAACTAATCAATACTGGAGTTGGTATCTAGTAACTTTTTAGAAACTCTATATCGTAGTTTATAATGTATGAGATACCCTATTTTGCCAAGTATAAAACAATCTCAAGTTTAAGGCACACTTTGATTTTGGGACCAGAAATTTGGGAGAGAAAAAAATGTATTATGACTACATAAAGTTGGATGCTTCCTTAGTATCCTATCTAAACAAGGTAAATCCAAAGGTCACAGGACAGTCTATTATTTTAGGGGGTGGTAGATAAGCTGCATGCAGTCTTGGGACCTAGGCTGTATGCAGTCGTAGGACCTAGGCTGTACTCTCTCGTGGGACATAGGTGGGTTTGGGTTAGGGCCAGTTCTAGATGTTTTGGGGTCATTAAAAGCATCAGAAAACCTGGAAACCAAGTTTTACTACCCTCTAAAATGTTGGACTGTCCTGTGATGTCATCTGGGGTAGGGTATTACGAAAGAACCTGAAGTTGTTGAACTCATGTTTTATTAATCAGATATTTCAGAACATTTATCACTGTCAAAACTCTCATCCATACAAAAGTTCTTTATCTTGTCCTCATCTATGTCTGATGACCAATCACTGTCTTCATATATTTCCTCATCCTCAGCTCCACCTGTGACATTTGCAATGCCACACTTCTCGAATGACTAGACAACAGTCTCAATCTTCACTTTATCCCAGGGCTTTCCACCCAGGTACAAACTTCTCCCCTGGCTGGTTTCTTTACACCACCTGGTGAAATCAGATTGTCCTTCGAAGATGTTATCAGTTGGTTCAATTCGTCTTTCATGGCAACATTGAAGGGTTTGTTAATGCATTTGTCAAGTGGTTGAATCTTAGTGGACAAAGAAATTCCTGATGTAACAAGTACAAAGTAGTGAGCATGACGACAAGCACTAAAACTATTACAGCAGTAAAGAACTTTAAATTACAACTAGGAGAGGGGGGAGGTAGGGAAGATTGCCCCTGAACCAGCATTCCCAAAAGAGGCCCTGCACGGAATTTTCTCTAACAGATCATTTGATAAATACCTACTACCATTGTAAAAGACCCACTCTGTTTTTTTAGACCCTATATATATATTTTTTTTTTAAATAAGCACTTCTTAAACTTGGGGAAATACAATACCTGACTGAATGTGTAACTTTGCAGGTACAAAAGCCACACATAATGCATTGTAATCTCCTTGTTCTGTTAACAGCAGCATCAGCTAATCCACGTCCAGTCGGATCTCTGCCTTCAAATGATGGCCACTAGAGCCCTAACCTTACAGTCGTGTCAAAGAGATCTGATGTCACAGAAGTGGGCCTTTCAGTCAGATGGGCTTCTAGAACCGAACAACTGGTAGAATAGATCATCTGCAAAATTGCTTCTTTCAGCCAGAGAGGCTTCGAGAACTGAACAACTCATAAAACAGCTCATCTACAGAATTGGCTCTTTCAGTCAGAGAGGCTTCTAGAACAGAACAACTTGTAGAATAGATCATCTACAGAATTGGCTCTTTCAGTCAGTGGGTCAGATTGACTATAAGAAGAAAACAGCTGGTAGATAAGCTCATCTACAAAAGTGGGGTCTTTCAGTCAGATGGGCTTAATGAACTCAACAATTGGTAGCTAAGCTCATCTACAAAAGGGGGTCTTTCAGTCAGAGGGGCTTCTAGAACTGAACAACTAGTAGAACAGCTCATCTACAAAAGTTGGTCTTTCATTCAGACAGACTTCTAGAACTGAACATTTGATAGAACAGAAAATCTGAAAGCCATTAATTCTAAATACAGTGAACAGATTTCATGTGGCAGTATCTTATTTCTGTGAAGTTGATCTTTCACTTATATGGGCTTTTATAAAAGAACAACTGATAAAACACCTTATTTAGTGTGTATTGAGTTAAGTTGAGTCAAGAATTGACAACACAGCACTCGGGGCATTCCCGTTTTTTGTTTGTAGTGAAGTAAAGAAGTGTCTGTCTCGCAACACCAAGATCAAAATATATAAAACGTTGATAAGACCAGTCATTTTTTATGGCTCTCAAACTTGGAGCACAACTAAAAGAGATGAAGCCTTATTACAGGTTTTCGAAAACAGAGTCTTACGATGAATCTTTGGACCCATGGAAGCAATATAATCTGTTTAAATAACCACTGTTCACTGGCATCATGAGAGCATAGACTGAAATGGTTGGGGCATATTTAAAGAATGTCAGTAGACACAGAGGTAAAAACTGTATACACAAGGGAGATGAATGGTCGTAGACCACGAGGCAGACCAAGAAGACAATGAAGAGATAATGTCCAGAAAGAACCACAAACACTTGGTGTCACCAACTGGAAAGAGAAGGCCAACCAGAGAGATGAATGGAGGCGGGTGAAATATGCAACAACGAACCTCAAGGGCTGGGAATGCTGAAGAGGTGAAGTAAAGAAATAGAGAAGATTTAGAGGAAAAAACTGGTGTATTAGATTAACATGGTTTTAAATTAGAGGGATATGAGCAGAGGACACTTGCTATTTGCTGTGATGATGAAACGTAAAATATCTGTAATAGTTGTGGGACTTTATCACTGATAGCAGAAAATAAACCTGATTGCAAGAACAAGTTAAAAGGGGTGTTGCCAGACTATACATACAGGAAGCAAAAGAAGAAGAATAAACCAACAAAGAACGGGTGTTGTGAGTGGTTACACTCTTCAGGATTTGCTGAGGTGGGGATCCAAGCACTTGTGGGCTCAATGGTTTGAATCGAATTAAGTCAAGAATTGACATCACAACACTTGAGGCACTCCCATGTGTGTTCCATCCTTATCTTCAGCAGCCAGTGCAGAGTTCCAAGATTGATGGTACCGGTCACAGTCTGGTTATATGTCCGTCTTGCCTTTCCTCTGAGTGTAGTCAGCTGGCCAGACCCTCTGGTTACACCCAGGTGCCTCATTCTCTCCAGGCCATAATAATCTTGTTTCTCTACTGATTCCATTGCTCATTTCTAAAGGGCCTTGACCACATTTGCCTTGTCATGTATCAATTCACCACCAAGTGATGCAGATCCACCCAATCTATTTGCCTGTTCATTACTCAATACGCCAGCATGGCCTGGAGAAAAGATCCGAAGAATGCTTACTACCCGTGACCTTCCCAGTGAAGCTTGCCACTCTGCTCGAAGCATCCCTGTCTTCATCTTTCTCAGCATGCTTTCAGAGTCTGTTACAATTACTACATGTGTATGCATTATTGTTCTCTAGCACCAGAGAGCTGCAGTTTGATTTGAATGGTTCGATGTGCGATGAGGATAATCTGTCAGCTAACTCACAAACTATCACTGATAGCACATTTGAAAAACATGAAGTAAAGAATGGAACACCAAAAACATCAAGGAAGCTGAGGTTTGCATCCACCTTGTCCATCGATATTATTTTTCAGAGTACATATAATTTTTAAACCACCTCTTTATGCAATGTTTTTTACATATAATTTTTAAATGCAGCCAAGTGTTTAAACAAAAAAATTTTAATGTACTTAATATCCATTTTTGTTTACTTTTGGCAGTGTACTTATATGAACATTGTGTATTTGTGTACAATTGTCGTCTTTTACCTCACCATGGGGGGAAAAAGTTAATTTATTTAATCACCATTTTTTATTACTTTTTGCAGTGTACTTATCTAGTTAGGTGCGTATCCTTTACAGGACGTTGCAGAACCAACCCTAACAACCCCTGGCTGTTGTGTGGTTTCTCTAGGCAATTTACATCCAGTAGTTTAGTGTACTTATCTACACATCCTTTATTTATGTCACGATCGTCTTTAACCTCATCAGAGGTTCAGACAGAGACCTATCCAAAGATCAGTTGTATCTATGATATTTTCTTCCCTGTAACATCATCTATGTCCGTCCAGTATCATTTCTCTCAGTCAGCCTCTGCCTCTCCTGTCATCATCTATGTCCGTCCAGTATCATTTCTCTCAGTCAGCCTCTGCCTCTCCTGTCATCATCTATGTCCGTCCAGTATCATTTCTCTCAGTCAGCCTCTGCCTCTTCTGTCACTGATATTTCCAGTTGTCACAATGTTCTTGCGTCACATGACTGAAGAAACCTGTCCCTTCTGTTGTTTAAATGTGTCAAATTCCCCACTCTTGTTAGCTTTTTCCAAGTATTTAACATGACTTTTTTCTGACAGTTCACATATGTATGCAGTAGCAGCAGTCACTTTTTTTTAAAACTATTACTAGACACTATCCCCTGTGTGGGTTCCGGGGACCTATTCTGGGAGAAACAAGAATAGACCCACAACCTACCCAAAAGCATGTCGTAAGAGTCTACAATTGGGAGCTTCCTTTGAAGTCAGAGTGCATCTGCCTGAGAGGCAGGCAACCAACAGTCTGCACATAAATGTATCAGATCTGTCAAACTGATGCCATGCAACACTCAGGTTCTGGAACAGGACTGCAGTCCAGAAGTGAACGAACAACCAGAACTTTCCACCAGAGTTTACAGCTGGTGAACGCAGAGAAGAAGAAAAAGATTAGACACTTTGAGTACCAGCATTTTTTCTTCTCTAGGAATTAGTATTATTTTTTTTTTCCTGTTTTATCACAATATATATGTTACCTCTAGAATTCATACCATCAAACATTGCTTGCTGTCTATTCTTTTTATGTTGTGTGCAGTCATATTCCAGGGATATTGATTGCGTTAACAGATCCACAAGTCGACGGTGCAGAATAGGGACTGTGGAAAAAACCCAACTCTACTTCTGTTCCAGTTTGGTGGGTAGGCTAACCGACCGTTGTGGCTTTAAAAAGTTATTTGTCTCTAGCCAGGGTTTGCTGATGCAGATTTGCCCCCTCCTGGATAGAGAGTCCAAAGGTTCTGTTGCCCAGCTACTGAACTGATTGCTTGGTGCTACACTGTGAACTATGGATTTTGGGTAGAATGCTTTTTTTAATTGTGCTTGCGGAGATTTTGTGATGTGAAGTGCACAAAAGATAGCGGCTGGCCTATTGTTTTCGGAATGCCGTGTACTTATACAATATTGCATGTGTGTATGCCAGCTTTAATAACTGATTGCTTGCATCAGCAGTGAGCTGCCATTCTAGTGGAAGAGAGTTGGCACATCTGTCGGCTGCCTTATGCATTTCCATTTCCACAGGCACGAGAACAGAGCACTTATAGGGTGACTTGTTTGTAGTGAAGTCGCAACTTACTGACTAAGAATCCGTGAAACAATTGGTTCTGTTTGTGGCTCAAAGTATGTAATGGCCTAAACAATTGGTTCTGCAGCGGCTCAAATCACACAGTGAAGAACCACACTATAATACCATTCATATAACTGTATGTGTTTTATATGATTTTTCGAGGTCAGGGGCCTTCACATCTCAACCTTTAACCTTTTTTTAAGGACTCAGCAGTCATAAAGAAATTGTTATGGTAAATTTGTACTCTCTATGTTTTTGTAACATTACTTCATGCAAGTGTTCTTTATTAATATATTTCTTTTTGATTGTTCTTTATAAATTTAATATTTAGTATGTTCTTCATGAACATAATATTTGTTTTCAATCTTTATGAATGTAATTTTTCGGCTGCCAAATTTTCCTATGTTCTATATGAATGTAATTAATATTACTTCTCATGTCCTTTATTAATGTAACTTTTTTCTTCTGTATGAATGTAATATTACTTCTTTTGGATGTTCTTTATTAATATAAAATTACTTCTTATGTTCTTTTTTCACATAACTTTTTCTTCTGTATGAATGTAATATTACTTCTTATGGATGTTCTTTATCAATATAAAATTACTTCTTATGTTCTTTTTTCATGTAACTTTTTCTTCTGTATAAATGTAATGTTACTTCTTATGGATGTTCTTTATTAATATAAAATTACTTCTTATGTTCTTTTTTTCACGTAACTTTTTCTTCTGTATGAATGTAATGTTACTTCTTATGAATGTTCTTTATTAATATAAAATTACTTCTTATGTTCTTTTTTTTTCACGTAACTTTTTCTTCTGTATGAATGTAATGTTACTTCTTATGGATGTTCTTTATTAATATAAAATTACTTCTTATGTTCTTTTTTTCACTTAACTTTTTCTTCTGTTTGAATGTAATGTTACTTCTTTGGGATGTTCTTTATTAATATAAAATTACTTCTTATGAATGTTATTTATTAATATGATATTACTTATGTGTGTGTGTTTTTTACTAATTATACCTCTGATGTAGGTGTTTTCTTACTAAAGTGATACTGCTTCTAGTTTTTTTTTAACTAATGTGATATTACATGTATACATGTTTTTACAAATGTTTCCTACAGTGGATTGTTTTTGCAAATATAATGTTACAAGTTACA